GGATTCATTTCTCTGTCCAGACATACTGTACCTGTACTGTACTGGACAAGATGGATCTTCAGTGTAAATAAAATGTTCTCTTTCTCTATTTAAATCTCTGTTAAAGACTCACTTGTTTTCATGTTATCACTGTTCTGCCTCTGTTTGAATGTTATACCTGTAATGTCCCTTTGTTGTGTACGTTCTGGTTAATGTGTTCATGTTCTTTGATTGTAAAGCATCCTTGAGCATGGGAAGGCCACTTTATAAATAAAAGTGATAATGATGGAAAATTAAGGCATCAATTTAAATGCCGTTTTCATGCAATAAAATTTTTTTTCCACCCCAATAAAATCTCTGTGACTTACCTGGCCACTCCATTGTATAATAAGTATAATAAGTATATAATATGTCCAAATCACTGCTTTTGTGATGTGATACGTAAAACCACCTTTAACCTTTTACATGAGTGAAAAATGTTAAACTTGTGGTAAATGTAAAAAAATACATACCTGATGTGCTTTTATGACATTTATGTGCTTTTTAACACAGCACTGAAAAGCTAGATTGTATTCTCCGGACCTCCATGCTTTCTTTTTCTGTGTGGTGGGCATATCTACGAATGATCACTAGAACAGAGTGAAGGCGTATTTACTAGTTAACCTTCTGGTATGTACAGCCTTCCAATGAGCACCCGAATGTAGCATGAGTTGTTGGTATGTGGTGTGGTGCCGTAAAATGTTATGCAGTCCCCGCGAGGGGTTCCGTGCCCACTACTTCAAAGTTACATAGTGCTATAGCAGGCATTCTGGGTACGGAGTGGCAATGAAAGAAACATCAGTCTCCCTATTGCATGTTAGTGCACCATTCAAATTATTTTTAAGCTATTTTTTAGGGTAAAATTCTTAAATAATGTTGATTTAAATTCCCTAACTCTAAATCTAACACTCACTCTGTCTTTGACCTAAACCTTAACCCAAAACCTAAAGCAGATGTGTCAAACACAAGGCCCATGGGCCAGATCAGGCCCACACACAAGCCCAGAAAAGAATTTTAATTTTCTGTTTTTATTAGCCCGTTTCACAATGTGCTGCACTACAGTCCCCAGCAAACCCTAACCCTGTTTCTAATCCTAGCATCAAACCTAACACTGCAGAGCTTCATCAGATATTGTATTAATAACTAGAGCATCTGGGTTGGATGTAATTGGATGAAAGAAGGTGTCTGTTTTTTGATGATGCTGGGTTGAGACCTGGATTATTTTATCATCAGACACTTTAAATTGTTTCCACCCCATGCGATTGGCATCTTATACCAGATATATTTAATTAGTAATTAGAGTATAGATCTAAATGACTCATAATCTACACTCCTGGGGGAAAATGGCCCAAGCCTAAAATATAATGTTTTTTTACTAATGGCTTTGGCCTGGTCAGAGTTCAGATGTAAACTCTATAGACAATATCTGGTCCCACATTAAAGACAAACTAGCTCGGCATTGTCTTTCAACTGCTTGAAGCCATCAATGCTGAGTGGAAAAATCCTGACTCTTCTTTCTGTAAAAGGTTTAAAAAATTTAGCTAACTTTATTAAGTTACTTTATCTATTTGTTTAATGATTTGTTATTTCACCATTAAAAGCTTAATGTTTTGCCATTTTGGGCTTGGCTCTTTTTTTTTGTTTGGCCCCGGAGTGTATATATTAGGTTATGCAGTTTAAAGAGCCATGTGTGGGACTGGTAGCTTTCTATCCCAAACAGGGAGAGATACCAGCGTCTTTATCAAAACTTCTGCAAAAAACATTTTTTACCATAATTTACAGCTCAATGTCTTTAAAAATGATACCTATTAAAGATGAATGGATGGAAATTTAATTCATTATTCTTTTGTGCATCTACAATGCCTGTAAATAAATGTGTAGTAAAAATAAAGAACTTTTAGAACTGTGTTGACTCTTTTAATGCATACTGCTTTGCATCATCTGTACCTGTTATCTTGCATGATTCATGTTGCCTGTGTTGGAAAAAGATATAGATGCCATGTCTTAGATGTTTATTAGGATTTTATGATCTATTTAAACATAAGGCATTCATTCAGATGGTAATAAGTTAAATACATTGCTGTTGTCAGAAGAAAACCTTATATCTCCATTGTTATCCTTTTTCGGTTTTTGACATAATGTGACAATATCTGTTGCCCTTTATATTGTGTGTAAATTTCATGATGAATGGACTAAAAGAAATGGTCCAAAATGACTTGGAAAAATGTCTGGTTCCATTGACTTATATTAAAAGTAAAGTAGGTTTTTTCCTTCTCCTGTAAAGTTACCATTTCGGAGATATAAGGTTTTTCTTCCAACAACAGCGATATACAAAATCATTATGTATAGGGTGCTTTACACTGGGACATGGCTGTCCCAAACCCTAACCTCCTATATTTCAGTTTTTGAAAATAACACTTGTAGTAACTTAAAATATGTATGTCCTTTACAGGGAAGGTGAAAGATTTTGATTTAGAGTTTAATGTTTAAATATATATATATATATATATATATATATATATATATATATATATATATATATATGTGTGTATAAAAAAAGTTGTTCCATGTTTTCATATCACTACCAAAACATAGAGGTTTAGTCCATAGGCAGAGCCTTATTTTAGCCACACCCCTGCATTTTAGAGCAGGAAGTGAGACTACATCCCTGTTCCTCATACTACAAGGTCAGCAGTTAGATCTCACTGGTCCTCATTTACCAGCCGTTCTCAAGAAGATTTTTCTTTTTTAAACCCACTTATGTAATTTTCACGATGATTCTGACATTCACCAATGTTTCTTATTTGGAATTTCTTCTTAGGTAAAAGCAGAATGTATGTACACTTAAGAGCACAAAGGTGAGAACAATTCTGCGGTTTAGGGACACGTCATGAATCTGACGTAGACTTTTCTTTTTAGCACTTTTCTCAAGAAAACACTTAAGAAAAAACTTAGGAAGATAATGAGGAATGAGGCCTATTGTTTGAAACTGAAACATATTTCTGGGCAGCAAATGTCCACTTTTTGTCCAACTTTGCTGCACTACTGAAGAAATTTCCAGTATTAAAGAGCATTTAATATAATATTTGGGGCTTCTTTGCTTTACTTTTTCATTTATTTTGTGGAACTGTTATTGAAAATGAATAGAACATTCAAAGTTGTGTGTTATTATGAATAACATCCTGCCTGTGACTGAACCACAGCTGTGATGTTATTTGTGATATGATGTGATAACACACTCCCTCTTGTGTAGTGTGTGTTTTGTAGTGTAGATCAGGTCATAACATTTCAAAACAATATTTCCGTACAATCTTGTTTTTGATTAAATATATTTCTCTCACACAGTTATAATACACACACAAAAACACATTTTTGATGTTCTGTTTATACTATTATTTATATACACAGTGTGACAATGATTTTCTTACAATGTGCATTTATGTTAAAAGGATGCAGAATATGTATACATTCAGCTAGAAATGGGCAGGAAAGTATGAATGATGATGACACTAATTCAGCTACAAATGCAGAAGACAGCTCAGAAAAGTGACGAGAGACGGAAGGGATTGCATGACTCCACTACAGTCCGTTTTCCAGGTCAAAGTGCCATGGTTATGACCTATCAGTGACTTGCAGAATAACAAAAAGTGGGAGCTGTGTCGAAAGTAAGTCATTCAGTCATTCACAAACAGCCATGACAGCAGTATTTCCCAACTGTCTCAGTGTGAGTGCTTGTAGTCCAGTGCAAAAACAAACCTCTCTCACTGTAGTTATACATGATCTGAACACTGACTTTATGTAATATAGTGTGTTCAGGTGGTGTGGGGCAAAAAGTATTTGTCCATTTTCCACATGGTGTGTGTGGCTGGCCCTTTTTTGAGAGGCCTTTAATTAGTGTCAGTTTCTGGATCTGTTCATAGAGCTTCAAATCATGCTCTACAATCTTAGTATATTCCCCATAACTTACAACAATCAGCTGCATGTGTATGATTCCCACATACAGTGATTTCAGTAGGTTTCCTTGTACTTAGAAAACAACTGAAAACCTGCTGACCTAAAATAGAAGCTATTGGGCAGTTGCTGATTTCTGTAATAGCTGGCCATATAACACATCTCTAACAATGAAGGTCTTACAATGAGACAGACATCAAAGAATGTCTTGCCAAAGCTGTTCTTCTGAAGTTTTATCCCACAGTTCCATAGTTTTCTGTTGTGGATGCACCACCATGCATTACTATGTTGGTGACACATTACCACAAGGGAGACCTTGTAGAAAAGTAATCCCATCTTTAGAAGACTAAACTATACAGATGTATAACTTCATTTATTAATACTTTGACTGAAAAATTAATGAAAGTGTTCTACAAAAGTATGTTTCTCATATATCCAGCAACTGCCCAATGGCTTCTATTATAGGTGCCTTTCTAGTCAATGGATTTTCTGTTCTTTCCTAAATGAAAGAAAGCATATGGAAATTATTATCCATGGTCAGTGATGTTACAGTTGTATGCAAATATATGAACACCCCTGGTCAAACGGCATCTTTTCTTGGTTTTCTAAGATAACACATCTGCCACAGGGAACAAACCTAACACAATATTTATTTTTTCAGACCTCTGATCAGTCGGAACAGACAAAGAACCAGTAGTGCTACATTTTAAAATATACTAACAAAAACTGTGAACACAATAATTTTTATTTAATATTTGCTGTACTGTGTTGCACTAAATCCAGTTAAACTGTAGTTGGTCAGTGTTCTACAAGTACAGAATATATCCACAATATGTTCAGAAAAGTATACTGTATTGTATTGTGACATAATTCATCACAATAATGATACTGTCATATTGCCCTAGCCCTATTTATTTTTTTCCCCCAATCTGTTAAATTCCACAAATAAACAGTAACTGTGTATTAAAATGTGCAGAAATGTGTTCTCTGTAGAGGATGTGTTACTTACTTTCACTTCAAAAATCAACAAAGCATGTCATTTGACTAGGGACGCCCAAACTTTTGCCTACAATTGTATACAACAAATGAGATAAATAGAGATCAAGATATTTCACAGGAGAGCTACCGTTTGCCTCCGTCTTATACTGTTCAGTTCTGTCCATGTGAATATTAGATCCTCTTGTTAGAGTTCCTGTGGAGTCCAGACCATGACTTTGTTCCATAGTGACCTGAAGCCTCTACAGACCCTCTCGAGTTTATCCATTTGTGGGTATGAACCCTCAGTTTGAAGCTTGTCTGCAGAGTGTTGGTCCTCCACTTTCCTCCCTGCAGTGTAAACCCTGTTTGATGTGTCATGTAGTGGTGGCCTGAGTCAAGCTCCTCTGACTGCAGGTGCTCTTCATTACAATGGCGCCTGATTGGCTCTTTGGACTCCGCTGCTCCCCACAGCCACAGTGTAGTGCCATCATGCAGCTCCGCATCAAGTCACGGAACAAGTGACCAGCAAAGAACATATAGATCCAGGGGTTACAGCAGCTGTTCAGGCTAGCCAGCAGCATGGCAATAATGAAGGCCATTGCTAGAACAAAGGAGATGATGAAACAAGTTTAGTTTAGTAGACACTGCAGTTACCCTGGAATATGTGCCACTACGGACTGCTACGTGAAATTACTCTACATTCTGGACATCTACTTTCAGGTGATGAAGATGATGCCCTTTTAACCCAACCTATCTAAATTCAATCTATTCAGTCTGAATTCGATCTGTAATATAATTTGCAAGGGATTGAACTACCTAGTTTGTACAATATAGTACCTAGTATATACAATATAAACTTTCTTAGTTTGATTGTTGTAAGAATGTTTTTATTATGTAATATATTTTTAGACTGTTTACTTGTTTTAAGTAATTCAATCAAATAAAACTGTCTTATTCTATTATTGTCATCCTACTGGTAGACAACTGATATGTTTCAATATATGTATGTATACACACACAGACACACACACACACATATATGTATATAAAAACATCATGTTGGAATCCTGTTTAGTTTTCCTGCTCAGACACACCTGATTCATCTCATCGGTTAGTTACCAAGTTTAGTTGGTACTCACCAAACTGTGCCGGACTTTGGCACTTGAGGTCCTCGATGACCTCTCCTTTCCAGTCTTCTAAATTTTTGTTACACCTTTCTGGAACAATGTGCTAAAAGCCATTCAGTTCGATTCTCACCCTCTTCTACCTCTCCCTTACTGTCTCTTGATATCACGGTACTGACAATATTTCAATGTTTCATATCTAAAATCTGCTAAAAGCAGGGCTACCCTTATTCCCCTATGCAAGCATCTCTCTCTCTCCCTCATGCCCTCTCATTCACTCACACACCCTTTTTCAAGGACAAATGCTATTTTCATGGCCCTGTAGTCCTTCCCGACCCTGCCTGGCTTCAGATTGCTATCTGATGGAGCATGTACAGAGGAAATATCTGCAGGCTAAACACTCAGCATTAGAGAAAAACAGATATCCAAGCCCATTGTGTTGCACTGGATGTATGACTCAGGTAGTGCATTGTGCATTCAGCAAACAACTTTTTGATGTTCAAGTCACATCTGACATTGGCGTCTACAAAAAACAGGCGAGCTGAGAACAACGGGTGTTTACATTTAAAGCAGTACGTTCTCAGAACAACATTTCTTGCAAATGACCACCATAACCATTGTTTGTAAATGAAATAGTCCTATTAGAAACTGGAGATCAAAATAAATTCCTTACATTCAGAATATAGGGTGCTACCATAGAAAACATGTAATAAGGTTATCTATGGATAGAGAGTCAAAAGTGCAAAAAGAAACTTTCAGTGGCAGTCCTCTAGAAGTTAAAAAAGCCTTTAAATTTCCTGCTAAAGTCATAGCTATTCGAAAATTAGTCAAATATGTCATTGTACTCTTTGAGAATGATACAATTTCCTTTTGTATTTGTACAAATTGCCTTTGTTAACCTGAAATGACCCAAAACAGAAATAAACATCCAAGAACATATGAACTGTAGCCTAAAAGGTCAACCTGAAATCAAAATTGACCTTTTCTACCTTAGTTAGTTCACATGCATTAAACACAATTCATTGTATCATATCATGTAAAAAATAACATTTTTGCCTTCCATCGAAATGCAGACTGCAAGAAATCAGTGTCAAACTATAAGAAAAATGAAATCAAATCTAGAAGGAACATGAATTAAAATTATCTACCAATATGATGTAGAATATTACAACATTTTAAAATAAGATTTCTTAAAATACAAAAAAGATATTGTGCTGTAAATTATCTTCCAATCTTTTAAGACAGTGTTACAGATTTTAAGACTGCAATGTTTTTTTTAAGATTATGCAGCTAGACCAGTGTTCTTTCATAGTGAAGAGCTTTGACTTTTTAAGTTTTCTCAAAAAAGTTTCATATTTTACTGTAAGAGGTCTGTATAATCAGCTAATGTGTCTAAATAAGATAACTGTGAAGTTTGTAAAAGCTTGCTGATTAATTTCTTTCATACAAATATAGTTTAGTCTGTTCATCTTTAAATAAGAAAAGATCTGAAAGTTCTTATTTTCAAATTGTCTGGTTTGTTAAGGTGTCATATCTTTGATGTGTAGTGACTTTTTCCTGCCTCAAAAAACATCTTCTGATTTTTGACTAAGTCATCATTCACCAGCAGGTGAAGAAAAATAATATTAACAAATACAAGAATGTTTCCCCCTCCCACCCACCCCCCCACCTATCATCTAGAAAAATGCTCAGCTAGTTCAGAGACCCTTCCTGATACCATGTTTCACTCTGAAATATGCTGCAGTACAGAAGGAAAACACATTTCCAATTCACATTGACTTTAAAAAAATAACTACTAAAAAAATAACTACGCAATAAGAAGTTTTCAAATTCTAACCAGTCAAATTCATGCCTACATTTACGTGCACAGCCTCATACTTGTTTACTCAAGTGAACAGTCAGTGAACAGGCTGAAATGCCAGTGATGTCATTCCATAAGAACATCCAACAAATAAATCAAATAGCGTGACGTGGGTTGGTCTGAATATATCTGGGTCAGAGAGCAGTTTGGCAGTGCCCATAACACACAACACACAGTGTCCACGTACACTGCTAGTGTTCCTTTTCACCTCCCTAGAGTGCAGGCCACATCACTCAGCACAGCCACTTCGCAAACTCACTCAAGAACGATGACATCTGGAACCTTTTTAAAATCATGGGGCCGGAATCCCTTTAGGAAATCATATTTTTCTTCTTGCCCTTTTGTAGATAAAGTCCAGATAAAGTTTTCCTTTGCCATTTAGCTCAATCAAAACAATTCCACAAGAAAAAAAGGAAATCTGGGAATAGGGGGGAGCAGATGTGGCAGTGGTCACGTAACTGGACGAGAAGTGAGGAAATGTATTCTGATAACAATACATTGGTCATTTATCTACTGTCCAGAGGCACTACCATGTGTTTCCTCTGCCACGGCTTCAAAATTCACTTGCTTGTTTCACAATTGCATTTGCCTTCATGTAAACCAGCTCCATTTGAACTAAACTTTAACTTAATCGGTTTCATATGAATGCTGTGATGAAACAATTTCTTATTTGCATTTTTAGTTCATTAAGAATTTTCAACAATTCTGTGTCCTTAAAGGGGAATTCCACCAATTTTTCAAAATGTCTGAATAATTCAGTCCTTGAGATGAAAACAGAGTCATTCAGTGGTTTAATGTGAAATGGTTCACTGTACAGACTCTTTTCTTTACAATAGTGGTGATAGGAACCAGGGGTCATGATGTCTACAACACAAATATAGCCATTTCATTTATCCAAAACCACCAGTGAACGTACACGTCTTCCAAGTTTTTATATGGAATGTTGATGTTGGTAAAATAATTCTAAATCTGAGAAAAAAAAAGTTTTCTTTGGGGACTATTTTGCCTTACAACGGCCTGCATGTACCCCTCCACCATGAAAAGATTAAAATGCATGGATTCAAATACAGTTTAAGCCAAAGCTTTATCACATAACTATCATAAAACAGTGTCTCAGACATTAGGCAGTGTGTTTATAACCATTTCATCTAATAAATGTCTGTGAGGGAGCTTTTAGAGGTGGCCATCTGGTTCCAATCACCACCACTGTGAACAATTCTGACTCGGCAAGTTTCTCTAGAACAGAGCATTTCCCAAACCATTCTGAATGACTTTGTTTACAGCTCAACCCTTTAATCATGTAGAATTTTATTGAAAAATTGGTGGAATTCCCCTTTTAAAAGTCCCCTTTTACAGTTTTATGTGATAAATGCTTGCTTTAGTTCTAAGTGTTGGTTCTAAGCAATAAAAACTAACTCATATTTGCTTCTTCTGAAAATGTGCTGTATTTGAATTACTTATTGATGATAATTATTCTCAATGACTTCTGCGTCCTTAAGTGTCATTTTAAACAGCCACCATCCAAAACTACAAGTAAATATTGAGGCAAACTTTATTGTCCCATTAATCATTTTTCAGATTTTTTCAGATAACCTTGTAATACCCTTACAACAATCTCATAATAAATACACAAGACTATATATAAGATCCTTCACTTGTCAAGATATCATTTTTTGTAGGATTGAAATGTCAAAGCCCAGATGTTTACCTCAGAGTTACGCTACAGGCAGGACACTCAATAACAATAACAATATGCTGCATGGCCCTGTCTATCAGCAGGTTGTGTTACTACATTTCCATGTGGTAATTGGAACAAGATTGCTATTAATATCCCGCAAATTGCAGAAGATCATTAATTCCAGAATTATTGTCTGATTTCTACAGTTTTTTAATTCATATAATTCATTAAGCAGATGAATTCTCACTTGCATATCTAAATGTAATTGCCAATACCAAAAATAGTGTCCGTAAACTGCGAAGCAGAGTTGAGTCAACCCTAAATGAGTGGATTCTCTGATTCCAGGCTTTTGGCAATCAAGAGTTGACTCCAAAGCTTTGGACTGAGCTCCACAGGGTGGAAATAATAAAAGTAGTTCAGCTACGATAAGATCTCCAAATTGCTTTTCTAAGGTCAAATTGGTCATATAATTGATCTGATATCTTTCCTAAAGACCAGTTGAGGTGGTAGACAGGCGGGGCATTAAGTTCATCTGTCAAAATCCTGTGTTATTTATAACATAAGTTTTAACAGTATATTATGAATGTTATTGATACTGTTCTTTTAATTTTGCCGGATCTCCTTACCTATGTCTTGATTTTTGGAATTAAGAATTAATAAATGACTGTGCGGAATCAATTCTGGGAATCAACTTTATCAATTCCCATCCCTTGGAATAAGATATTGAATCAACTCCATACTTTCTGGAATCAAAGAAAAGAAAAGGAAGAAGAAAGCAAGCTATTTTTATATGTAGGGAAATCAACTTAGCGAGGTAATGCCATTATTAGCCTACAGCAAACTGATTTAAATCCCTTAGATGATTTTTAATGGATAAACTAGATTGAAAATGTAGGTGTTCAATATTCCATGAAAGCACTATAACACAAATAAAACACCAGCAAAATAATTAGAATTTCCCACAACAGTACACTCCAATTTCCTCTCTACTGCTTGCTTCAGTCTCTTTTTTTCTGAAATTGTTAAATTATGGGTGGGAATGGGGGACAGAATGGCCTCTAAATCACATGGCCTTTCTTGTTCGGGCCCAGCAGGCTGGATAATCACGCAAAATCTCCTGACAAATGACGGCATGCTATTACACAGAAATGACACTCTTCAGGATGTTGCCAAGATGAAGACGAAGCCCTTTGATCTCATGCTACATTTACTGCAGCAACTCCCCAGAGGGCCCAGGGTTCTTTGAACTCTGATACTGAGGCCCCCTCACTTCCACACTACTTTTCTCTCTATCTTCCTCAGAGGTTTATTTTCAGGTTTAAGTAGCAACAGCCTCGAGCAGCCTTGAGTTAGCCTAGCATGTTTACACAGTCTAATGCAGCGGCCTTTAAAGCCTCAGCCTGAAATTACCCAAGCAGAGCTCCGTCTGCCCCAGGACTAGCTCTGAGATTACAGAGTTCATGGTAAACAAACGTGCCTAAACAGCTGAGGTGTTAAACCTAGTTTTTCCTTCATACTGAAAACTGAGCAGAAGAATCCAGCAGTTCCTGACTGAGCACATATATACACTTCTCAAATGTGTGTTTGAGAATGACAGAGGCAGAGAGGAGAGAGAGAATTTAGTTTGGTTTCCTTTTTTTCTCCTGTTCTTAATGGCAGACAGTTTATGCACATTTTGAACAAGACAACCTAAGCCTGCTAAGGTTGCTTTAAGGGGGATTCCACTGTTTTTTTGAACAATTAAATATTTATTAAATTATAAAGATATGTGAAAGCTGTCACAAATATATATTTTGTGTTGCCTCTGACATTGTTTTATATACATATATATATATATATATAAATACTCATTACTATGCACTGCCATTTTGTTTGTACATCCAGGCATATTGCACAACTATTAACATATGTTACCATTTACAGTGTTTAGTCACTCAGTTCATTTACTGGATGTGAAATGCATCACTGCATCATCACCTGCATAATATTTATCAATTTTACTTACTTATTTTTGTACTGCACATCATATTTTATGGTTGTTTTAGCATAATGTATTATATATCTTTTTATTATGCATCTGTATAATAGCGTACGGCAATGCTCTTGTTTTGCTCTTTACTGTACTTTGTGCTGCTGTGATAGACGACTTTCCGATTTTCCCTGTATGGTGCTGTAAGCCAAAATAGTACACAAAGAAACCTGTTTATCTGATTTACTAACTGATAACTATTTTACCATTATCAACATTGCATATAAAAAAAACTGAATACACCTGTAGGTTCACTGACTGTTTTGGTTAGTAAATGGCTCTGTTTGTGTAGACATCTTGCTCCAATCACCACCACTGTAAAGGAATCTGAGTCAGCAAGTTTCTCTACAGTGCACCATTTCACATCCACTCTGAATTATCCAGCTTACATATCAATAAATTAATTATGCATAAATGTTTGAAAATTGGCAGAATCTCGCTTTCAGAAAGGAAGACTGGCTTCTACCTCATTGAACATCCAAGGTATGTTAGAAGGATTACGTGAACAACATAACGAATGAGGAACATAATCGCTGCACTGTGCAAACATGTGTCCTCCATAACAGAGCTGACATTAAGCTGTTACAGCATTTTACTTCAGCTTTTACCTGGTGGCTCAGGCCATCATATTGCCTAAAAGCTCCAAAGACAAGCATGAAAAGTGTTATACATGCTGGTCATGAAACTGTCATGATTTAAACAGCAGTTCAGATTACTGGAAACATCTACCTTGTACCTCCACTCACTGACTTCTGTATGAGCTAGACTTATCTTACAGGTACACTATATAGATGTAGCCATTCTGTTGTCCTGCACAATTTGTCAGACACACACTACGTCATTCAATACAGGTCAGTTTCTGATGCTGTTGCCCAAATGTATGATAAGTATGATATCTCGAGTTACTATTTCTCCAGTGCTGAGTTCTTCGAATTTGGACCTTGAATCCAGATTCCAGTCCTGGATTTTAAGACACCAGGTGGCCACTCAGTTACACCAACAGTCCAGCCAACTGATTACAAAAGACCATAACCTGGATTTAAGGTCCGGATGTGAAGACTTAGCTCTAGTGCAGGGCTTTCCAGCACATTTACTCAGGGACCCCCAGATGGTACATATTTCTACTGTACCCCAGCTTCAGGCACACCTGTAATTGGTATGCAGATCTCAATTGCTTGCCTTAGTGGGGGCCAGAAAAACGATGACCATCTGAGGGTTCCTGAGCAGGGAATGAACCCCTGCTCTACTGTCTGGGTCTGCTGGCTCCATAACGTGTGACCACAGACATCCCTCTCCTCCCTCTAAAGCCCGTGCCATATTTTACCCTCTCTGGGCGCCATGGGGTCCCACGCAGCCCACATCTGCACGAAAAAGAAGGGCGTCCAGCACACGATGTAGGCCAGCACGATCACGAACGTCATCTTCACCGTCCTCATCTTGGCTTCGGAGATAAGGCGCACGCTGCTGACGCGCGCGAGCGCCCCTGCCCCAGCGCCTGCACCGGATTCGGTGCCATTAGTCGCGCGCCTGTCACGTCCGGTCTTGAGCCTGAAGTTCTGCCACACCTTCCAGCTGATGAGGCCGTAGCACACGCTGAGCACGGTCACGGGGATGACGTAGACGGCCAGGCTGATCCACGTCACGTAGGCCTTGGCGCCCCACGGCTGCACGAAGTCGCCCCAGCAGTCGTACACGCCGTCGCCCACCTCCTTGAGCGAGAAGATGCAAGCCTGCGGCGCGCTGAGCACGAGGCTCAGCGCCCACGAAGCCAGCACGTAGGTGCGCTCGGCGCGGTGGCGGAGCGCGCGCAGCGGCCGCCACACGGCCAAGCAGCGGTCCACGGACATGAGCACGAGCACGTAGGTGGAGGCGAACATGCCCACCACCTGCAGGTACTTGACGAGGCGGCAGAGCGCGTCCGGCCCGTAGAAGCGGAACGTGATGTCCCAGATCAGCTGCGGCAGCACCTGGAACACGGCCACCACCAGGTCCGCGATGCTCAGGTGCTTCATGAAGAAGTGCATGCGCGACGTGCCGCGTTTGCGCGCGCCCGCCACCGCCACCGCCGCCAGCACGCACGCGTTGCCCGCCAGCGCCAGCAGCAGCACGAGCACGAGCACGGCCACCTCCACTTTGGCCACGTCCTCGTCGCGCTTCAGCGGGTTCGGCGCGCGGCTCGCGTTGCGCGAGGCATTCAGCGCCCACGATCCCGGGCTCTCCATGGCGCGCGCGTAAAGGCGCACTGCGGTCGGCTGGTAATCAAGCGGTCATTGGACGTGTGTGTGCTGTGACTGTCCCTTTTTTTCTTGATCGCATTGTTTGATGAACGGTGCTCGGAGGGCACTCCGGGGGGGCAAAGAGCAGCACGCGCGCTTCAGGGCGTTTCTGCAGTTATAACAGAATGAAAAGGCAGGTTAGGTCAGGTATTTGCTGCTTCAGATAATATAAATAAGCTTAATGCATGTCATAGACCCTGAATGGTAAACAACATTATACATTGATTTCAATCATCAACTAAAAACGACTATATTTATAGTATTTCCTCATTAAAACGCTCTAGTGAGTATTAGAAATTAGAATAAGCACGAGGTTCTTACAGTGTTCCCTATTACCTGTTATTCCTCAGAAAACCCGAATCCACCCTACAGCCAATAAAAGGCTTTGTTTGTTTAGCAATGAATGCATTTTGGATACAATAAATCAATCAACCAACCAATAAACAAGCAAACAAATAAATAAAAATACAAACACGAATTACAGAACAGCGTCTGAGGAAACAGATGTATTTAAACGTGGTTTACTGTGTTTAGTCGACCATAAATTATTGTCCCTTAAAGTATTAAACATCCCACATTTCTCTCCCTAAACTCTGTGACGGTGAGCTGCGTTTATGTGAACACTCTTACCTAAAGCTTCAGCACTGAAAGTCCATCCTCTGTAACGTGTGCAGTGCTGCAGAGTCCGTGTTCAGCGCTCTGGTGTCCCTCTGCGCTTCACCCTCTCTCCGAGAGCTTCAAGTGTCCCGCAGCTTTATGTGTGTGTCTGTGTGTCTGTGTGTGTCTGTGTGTGTTGGGTGGGTTTACTGAGCGAGGCGATGCACAGACACATTTCCACCACTGGATGGCAGTACACGGCGCTCGGGTGCTGTATGTGTTAAGAAGCTCTCAAGCGGAGCTGGAGTTCGAGATAACATTATATATTATATATTATAATTAATTTTAGCATATTAGCACATTCTCCGACAATCTGAAGAACCCTTTCATGATGCAAATAAACCTTTAATCAGGCCAAGGGGTCTTTGAGTGTTCATGGTTCTGTATAGGAGCATTTTCTTTACTGAGGAACCCATGAAGAACCATCATTTTTAAGAGTGTATAAAAAGATATTTTCCTAAAAATCTTCTGTATTTCCTTTTGTTTTCAGTATATCCTGTGCATTCTTCTTCAATAAGCTCATTAAACAAGCTTAAATAAGCAGATTTAGCCGTCCATAAGGAACATTCATAAACTTGCAGAACACATTACATAAATTACATATAATAGCTTGAATTAATGAGTATGTTAATAGCTAATTTATTAGCAACCTATCATCGTCTTACTGTGGCCAACAAGACACAAATTCAGAAAACTGTTTCATCAACATGACGGCACCCGAACTACATTTCACAAAACACAGAAACACATGCAACTTTAGAGATGCTGCAAAGTCAGTCACAGCACAGCAATAAGTGAGTCACAACAGAGATGTTTCTGGAAGAGTCTCTAAGGGGGTGAAACATCTGTGATGGGAAATAACCCCCCCCCCACCCCCCACATACACGCACACACACCATTTTTAATACCGGTTTTAACAAGCCCTCATCCACTTGGCCTTGTCATTTTCCTCAGTGCGAATCCCCAGCACCACCTTAAGGGCTGTTCCATTACTTTATCAGCTCAAGTGAAGGGTGTAAGATGAATCCTCAGAGCAGCAAGGGATCGAGCGAACACCAGTGTGGACTTCAGCAGCAGAACTTGCCCAGAAATCTGTGCAACTTGTCGCGTTTCCCTTTTCAAATCTGAAAGTAATGGTGGACAAAGCTGTGTTAACCACAGCAATAAGCTACTTCAAAATACATTTTAAAACCATTCGAGTTACAAACTACTCTACATCTGTTATACATGACTGCTGATACAACTTCATTACTGTGCTGGCTTGCTCGTTAGCATGCTATAGGCTACACGGCTAACAAGAGCAAAAAGAAAGGCACTTCACTGTGGCTCTACACCATGTTTATAGCCAGACAAAGCAATTACTCACACATTATGTACATTATGCTCAAACTTCTTAAAAAAAACAAAAAAACATGCATTTCAAAGACTAGCTCACCGAGGCTAACCTGCCGAGGGCCAGTTCGCTGTTTAAATAATCTGCTCTTCGCTGTCGCCTCCCTTCCCTTCTGCTGCAAGTGGCCACTTGTGTGATGGTGTGATGCACATCTGAGTGGTGAGTGATGCAGATCTGAGTGGTGAGTCGAAATGGGTGAGGGCAAGTTTAAAAATTGAAACAGGGTTACGGGCAGAAGTATATAAGATTATGAAATCTCACATTCCACTAAGTTCATGGTTAACTTGTCTGGCTAGTGAGGTATCTGACGTCATCAGTCATATCTGGTATTGCTATTTGAAATTTTACAGTTACACTCTAGAGCTAATTTCTACTACACAGTCTGTTCAAATAAAAGTTAACTTACTTTACACTTTAACTGGTGAATGGTTTTGCTGCATAGAATTTGAAAGTTTAATGGCTCCATCCTCTTTAATGGCTCCATGTCCTCCAGAAACATTTCCATTGTGTTGTACACATTTTTGTAAACTGCAGCTCATATGTTTTGTCTTGGGTCTTTTTAGCCACCATATTCATCTAAATTGCAAAGCTTTTTTAGGATTAACTGTTTCAGCCAGCTCATTCCACTCTTTTTTTGCAGACCAGATTAAAGAGGAATTCCACGATTTTCAAAATTGCTGCATAATTAAATGGTTAAGCTGTAAACAAAGTAATTCAAAGTGGTTCAATGAATGTGGTGGTTCATCAATTGAATGGTGATTTGAATTCTGGACGTGCAGAATTGTTCACAGTGGTGGTGATAGGACACAGACTTCTAAAGAGTTTAATACATCTAAATGCTCCCTCACAGAAAACTATTACATGGTTACAAATACCTGAGATGGTTTTGGCAGAGATATACATGCAGAGTGTTGGAAGGCAAAATAGTAACCAAAGAAAACTTTTACCACTATTTTACATCACATATAAAAACTCAGAAGGCACATATAAGTTCACTGATGGTCTCGGATTATAAATAAAATGTTGTAGACTTTGTGCTGTAGACATGGCAACCCCTGGTTCCTATAACCACCACTGTAAAGAAATCTGTAAAAGAGTCTGTAAGTTTCTCTACAGTGAACAGTTTTACATAAAACCACCCTGAATGACTTTGTTTAAGTCTGAGCAATTGAATAATGCTAAAATTTAAAAATGGTGGTATTCCCCTCTAAGGTCCATTTGTTGAACGTCAGGCTGTGTAGCTACAAACACTCTGAATGTTTAATGAGCCAACCTGTCAATTTCCCAGATCTGGCTATTGAATATCAATACAGTTTGGTGTACAGTCCTCCTCTCTCTCAGTTCCACTCCTTTCATTTCTGCATCACCTTGTTCCCTGTTATTTTCAACCTCTCCTTCTTCTTCTCCATTTTCACTCTTCCCCTTCTCACCTCCCTCTGTTTTTCAACAGAATGTCCCTCATGACTTACTGCACCAGCAGCTTTATGTGCATTTGCACATGCTTTCTCAGTAGGAGCAAAAGGCCCTCTGGGTGAATATCAATGAGCTGTTCTGGAGGTCGAGTTTTCCGATAAGGGACTCAGAATGCTACAGAATGATTCATAACCCTGATCTGAATGCTGTACCCTGGTTTCAGGAATTTCTGAACAATCCCTGAGAATACTACAGGGACAGTGGACTTTGGATGGTCCAGCTGGTTTGGCTGTATTGATTTTGTTCAGAGTAATTGCTGTGTTGGTCTCAGTTGTAAGGGTCTTCAGGTGAACAGAGAAGTGGAGAGTACAGCGTTGAGAGGAGAAAATATGAGAGATTTAGAATGTTTTCTCCAGTTGGATTCACAAAGGTGCACATCTGAGATTTAGTAAGGATAATTGGCACTAACACTGTGCCTTGAGTAGCAGTTCAGGAGCAGAAAATTGACATGTAGACATTTGTTTTGGGGCAGCTGGAGGATTTGGCTTCCCTGTGGTGTATCTTGTTTTACATGTGTGTGTGTGGGTGTGTGTGTGTGTGTGTGTGTGTGTGTGTGTTTGTGTGTGTGTCTCAGAGCTGTATATGGCTCATTCTGTCTCACTGGTTCAAAACACATTTTGTACTTTTAACTGACTTGGACATTAGACTAATATGCTTTTGCTTTGAGTGACCACATACGTAATTAGGTTTCACTATAATTTTAGCAAATTTTGTGCATAACTCAAAAACACTACCCAGTACATGACTAGCAAACACAGCTTTGAACAGCTGTACACACATAGAATCACAATATTTTTCATTAAAACACAAAATTTGTCATTATATTTATAGATATTTTAAGACTCTTGATATAAGAAACATAAGAAACAATTTACCATACATTTCCCTATTTCAGTGTACTGAAATTTTAGCTTTTGCTTTTTTTTCCTGAGCAACAATACAATATTTTTCCTATTTTGCTACTGTTATCTTTTACACTTTTTATTTACTTTCTATTTTTATTGTTCCTTTCATAAAATTTTTAATATCTTTATTTTTCAACATTTTTATATGTTATCTTTATTTATTTTTATGTATTATCTTATTTCAGTTATTTCATCTTTAATTTCTTTTTCTTCTCTTATGCTGGCCAACCTTGCTAAGTTTTTAATATACAGTCAATCACTAATTTTGGCTATGAATGTATCCTTCTTTTATTTATATTTGGAAGCTGTGCTTAGGTACATAGATCTCTAGGGGTCTCTAGGGGTCTTTGAACACATATAGCAAACAAGTGATGGCCCAGTTCTGGCCCACACTTAAGACTTTAATCTGGCTAACACACCATTGTAGAATGATGGCAATAACTTTGTCAGAATCTGAGTGCTGGAAAATTAACTGAATATTCAGTGTTCAATGAATACAAAATTTCTAGTCAGCTACAAATCATTTTAAACCAAATTTGATTTAAATGGCAAACAAGGGTATTTAGTAATGTTCCTAGAATTGAGGCAGATTATGTTAGACTACCTTTTTTTCAGATCTGTTTTAAGACGTAGGACAATTAAATTTGTTTTAATATGGGCCATTTTTGGCTCTCATGCAGTTTGCAAGTGCTGACAGTGGGCCAGCAGTGCCATATGTTTACCAGAAGTGGGAATCCTTGATTTGTAAAAAATGAAAGCAATTAGCTAAATATTGTTGATATCCTCAGTAATTGGAGGTTGAGACATTGTTGAAAAATATGCTTTGTTTATCCTTAAAAGTGTTCTGTGCTGTTGTATAACTACCAGAATTAGTGCTGATTTTTTGTTTTACACATATTTTATCTCTAATTAGTTGTGGCCCACCCATTAGCTAGGTTTCCCCCAATCACATGATGCTGCCAAGCTAAGGGTGAAGATTAGCAGATGCTTCCTCTGAGCAAAGCACCATTGCATCTTTTCGAACTGTCCCTAACACAATGTCATTCACTGATCTCTCTTGGAGGAGAACATTAACTGCAGTCAGCTAACAGATGGCTGTATTGGCCAGCATCGTACCGAGTAATGGAGAGAGGTAGGACCATCCTAACCCCCCCGGGCAAGTGAAGCCAAATGCATTCTCTTAAACTCCAGGCCAAAAATAACTGTGATATCACCAGGGATCAAACTCCTAATAATAGAACCAATACACAGACATAGACAATAGACATAGACAATATATAGTCACTTTCACTATAT